ACTTTAATTTATGTTTTGATTGTTTGCCCATGTCTTGCGGCCTTGTCAAAATGGGTTGTCTCTCGGCTTTAACATTCACTCACGACATTGCATGACTTTGAGGTTTGTCAAAGAAGGGCAACTATAGACACCCCATTTTTTACCGCCTTCAAGACTTGGGCGCCACCGATGGATCACCCAATGATGAATTTTTACACTTGTCAAACGCTTGATTTCCTTAGCAGAAAGCCTTGGTTTTGGTGCCTTAGAAACCTACAAACCTTGTACCATTTGTTTTCGACCAAAACAGCAGTTTTTCAAGCCTGACCACCTAGAGTCCTGTAGGCCACTTAGTGGTTGTCCCCTTAGTGGTCGACCAGCCACTTATGTTAAAAAAAACTTGATACTTTTGCCAGCTGTGCCAGCTGTCTCCACAGGTGCATGCACTACACTAGCTGTTTTTGTGTTGATATTTCCGAGAGCCTAACATAATTTTCTATATACACTTGACCCCTTCTTATAAAATTAGGTTAGAAAATTTAGGAGGAGGAAAATTCTTGGAAAAAATATCTGTCTCTGTTCCTTGCAACCTATACACACCTTACCTAGACTTCCTAAACCAGATTTTTAGGGCTCTTTGTTGAGATTTTTGAGCTTCAATATTAGCTCTTGAGGGTGAGAATTTGATGGTTTATAACAAAAGGTATTACTCCTCTTCAAGAGGTATAATTCCTAACTTCTTTCCCTTATTTATTTACCATCTTTACTTGCTGTTTTTGGATCATTTTTCAACTATTTTTATGGGCTAAAACTTGTGGTTAAAAGCTACCCAAGGTAGAGGGGTGGACCACCCTTCTTTGTACCTTGTATTCCAAGCTCTAGCCCTTGTGTTTCCCATATTTTCATCTTCTTTTTTTTTTTTTTTTTTTTTTTTTTTTTTGAGCTTTTTACCACTGATTTTCAAAGGTTTTCAAAGGCAAAAAATGTGGTTTTGAAGTCCCAAAAATGAAGTGGTTAGCCTCCCCTCCTTGCGCTTGTTTACTAGCTAAATTTCCTCAATATTGTAGCTAGCTTTTTCAACCTTTTCCATGTGAATTTCAGTGCTATTTTTGTCTGTTTTAGGACTATTTTAGGCTATTAGTTTCATTTATGCTTTGTGTAGCATGCTTCTTGTATAATAGTCCTCATAAGTTTGGTGTTTTAGGCATTAGACAGCAACCTATTTCAGTTTATAGACTTTATTTAGTGTTTTCCATACTTTTGTTCACATTTTTCTTTGTTTTGAGAGTTGTTTCAAATGATTGTTGTTTAAGCTTGAGATAAAGATCCTTTTGCTTAACGGTTTAATCTCTTCGAAGGTTCATTACCAAAGGCATGACATTTCTCTCATGCCCAAAACAACCCCTTGTTTGACACTTCTCTCCATTAGTGGACTTAATCTTCATTATTGGACTAAAATGCTTAATGAATGGAAAGGTAATTAAAAGAGGTAATAAAGTTGGACTAAGAGGTAACAAGATAATAAAAATGGTTTGGGGTTCAATCGGACATTAATTGACCCCATTGAGTCTTGAGGCATTTCATACTTGTTAGTGATGAAAACAGTTCAAGAGTCAATGTCAACCACTTCCCTTGATCAATATCATGATAGGGAGGAGGTCTATGAGTCTTTCCTTGCCATTTATTGAAATTGTATCCCCTGGTTCATAAGCCATTACGCAATAAATTTGCATCAATTGATGATTTGCGAACTGAGCCTACCCCTCATTTCATCTGTTTGATGATAAGGAGAGGCAAGGTGGACAAACATTCCCTAAAAATACTCTGTTTGTGCTCTATTCCATGTCTATTGCAGCAGGGCAGTACCATACATTAGTGGCCGGCCGGCCACCTTTACTGTACGGCCGACCACTTCTTCTGGCCGGCTGGCCACCTTTTATAGCCAAGTAGTGTTATTTTTCCTGCAGAACAGAGCAGAGACTGAAATGAAAAATAGTGCAATTTTCTGATTGTGCACAGAAGCATTCTGGCAGAACAAAGAGCATTTTCGGGTGGAAATCCTCATTCATGCATGAGCCATCCCTCGTCTCTCAATGCCTGTTAAAATAATGTTTTAATAGTAGTATGTTGTACTTAAAGGAGTGGACCTATAACTAATTCATTTGTATTAATTAGTTAGAATAGCTAGTTGATTTCCTTGCGTTGTACTTAGTTAATTAGCTATAATAGTTAGTTAATTTGGGGCATTGTAATAATTAGTTAGTGTAGTTAATTTATTTTAATATTGTAAAAGTTAGTTAATTCGGTAATTAGCTAGGACATTTATCCGGACTAGGGGTGTGCAATGGATCTGCCGATCTGACAGACCAGACCACCTGACCCGACCCGAGGCATAATAGACGGATACGTGCCACTTGGTGGGCAGGTGCGGACCTAAAAATATCATTTTTGCAGGTGCGGGTGCGGGTGCGGGTTGCGGGTTATCTGCCAAATCTAATGAATCACCCGACCCGCCCATCCCCCTAATTTCCCCTCATTTTTCCCCAATGTTGCCCCCCTTTTTTTGTTCATTTTAGGTTTGTTTTTAGCCCTAGGTTTCGTTCGAGTTCGAAGAAAGAAAGTGTCTGCCTCTCTCTCAACTCCCTCTCTCTCTCTCTCTCTCTCACAGACACACATTTGAACGGAGGCGACGACAAATGATCGGCGTTGACGACAGTGGTGGCTACTAGCTAGCGACGATCAACGATCGACAATTCAACGACAGTGGCAGTGAGCGATCAAAGCATCGATTAGGAGGTAATCTTCTCTTCTCTTCTCTTTTTCTCTTCTTCACTTCGCTTCTCTTCTCTTTTTGTCTTTGATCAGCGTCGGCGATCGACGACTATGTTATGTGTTTTTTTTGTTTTTTTTATTTTTTCAGTAATTAGGGCTAGGGCTTTAGCTTCTTCTCTTCTCTTCTCTTCCTGTGTTCTCTTTTTGTCTTTGTACAGATCTTCTTCTCTTCTCTTCACGGCTTTGACTGTGTTCTGAATCTGATAGGGCTTCGACTGTGTTCTGTTAATTAATTAGGGCTTTGACTGTGTTAAATTAATCATGTTAAATTAATCATAAATTTGGGTTGTCATTGATCAAATACTCATGTTTAATCATGTTTCTGAGTATTAATCATGTTTAATAATGTTTCTGAGTTTTCTGAGTATTTGACTGTGTTAAATTTATGACCTAGACTCCATGTTTAAGATTGCCTTGTAAGCAACCTATTCTGTCTCTCAGTTCATCACATGTTGAAATTGTTTAAAGTTCATGCTCATGTTTAAAGATTATGAGCAACCTATTCTGTTAATTAATTGTCTAAAGATTGTGAGCAACCTATTATGACCTAGACTCCAGGTTTAAAGTTCCACCAGTTGAATCCTTCGCTTCTAATGTCAAATTACTATTGATCTTGTTGTGGTACAATAAATATTATCCAATCTATGGAGACTTGGGCAACTAAGAACTTTTCAACAAAAAAAAAAATTATTTTCAATCTGCTTTTCAATTATAAGATAAGATTAACCAATATTGTAACAATTAGGTCTCAAGCTTTGCCAAGAAAGCATTCCAATTCACAATTGCATAAGAAGTTTGAGAAAATAGAAACCTTGAAAGTAAAAAACACAGGAAGAATAAGAATTTTCCAACAAAGAAGACTCCACTGAGTTGCAAAATAGATGTTAAGTTGCTTATATGTTTAAGGGTTCTGTTTAAGTGTGCAACCCCCTTAAGGTTGCACACCATATGCAACCCAATTGTTAGCCGTTAGATTACAATAATTGATCAAGACCATTGAATTGTTTAATCGTGAAAAAGTTGAAACCGGGGCAACCGGTTAATGCTTGTATTTGCATGATTGCATCCCACTCACTCTCTGTATTTTGTCTCTATCTCTCTCTGTTCTCCTCTCTGTGTAAGGTTGAGTCAGTGTAACCCTTGATTTCCATTAACAGCGAGAAGCCCCTGCTGGATTGGTTCCATTGACGAAGCTCTGTAGGGAACAGTATAACGGGCGATTTCCAACAACAAGGGAACTACAAGGCTGTGTTGGTTCCATTGCTGAAGTGAAGCCCTTCTCTCCAACTAGATATGAGGTATGGAGCTGTCTCCCTCTCTCTCTCTCCCTCTCTGTCTCTCTGGCCTCTTCACTTCAGCTATTTTCCCTCAACTAAACCCCCATCCTAACTTCAACCGCTCTACGCTTTGCTCAAACGGAAACCCCTCCATTGGCAACTAACATTTCTCTTTCTCAAGCGAGTGTTTGTATTTGCACAAACAACTAAACCGTGTGAAAATGTCATGTTTGTGTTTGTGTTAACATTTTTCGGTCATGATGTAATTGTTTGTACTAATTTCGTGTGCAGTATGGCCCCAGCGAAAGTTAAAAGGAAAAGTGATGGTTATGACATTCCAAATGAAGCAGATGACATTTGTTTGATGAATGAAAGTCGGGCGAACCTTATCATGGTTGCGAAGCTGGTCCGAGCAATGAAGAAGCAACCAACATGAACGTTGAAGATGGCAGAGCCGATGTGAAAAAAGAAATGGTTGACGATGCTCATTGCAATGACATGGTTGGTGACGTTGAACGTGCTATTCTGGAACAGAAATTTGATTCGATCGAAGATGGAGAAGCTTTCTACAATGCTTATGCTAAAGCCAAGGGATTTAGTATACGAAAATCCAAATTTAACACAAATAAAGAGGGAAAGGTCGTTAGTAGGCTGTGGTTGTGTTCAAAGGAAGGTCAGAGATTACCAAAATACTTGGACCGTGTCGCTGAGAAGAGTAAAGCTCCCAAGGCACTAACAAGAGTTGGTTGCAAAGCCCAATTTCGCATACGGTACAATGCAGATGCTGCTGAAGGGGGAAATTATGTTGTGACTCACTTCATCGCAGACCACAACCATGAATTTGCAGAACAACACTGTGTGATGTATCTGAGGTGACATCGCAGTTTAAACAGTGCTGACAAAGCTCAAGCAATGGCTATGCGCAACGTCAGTGTGAAGACTAGCCAAATCATGAACTATATGGTAAATCAATCCGGGTTTTATGAGAATGTTGGTTTCATCCGTACGGATCTGCACAACCATATTCAAGCCGAACGTAGAGCAGAAGTTGAGGATGGTGATGTGCAGGGTGCATTAGTATACCTATGTACAAAACTTGATGTTGATGCACGTTTTTTTTACAAGTATGATGTGTGTAATGATAACAAGTTTCAAAATCTGTTCTGGGCAGATTCGAAATCGCGGGCCGACTACACAAAGTTTGGTGATGTGTTGATATTTGACTCAACTTACAAAACCAATGCATACAAGAAACCTTTTGTCATGTTGGCTGGTGTGACTAGCCACTTTAGGACCACGATATTTGTATGTGTTTTGCTAGCCAATGGGACAATTGAGACATGCACATGGGTTTTGGAAACATTTATGGAGGCGATGGGCCATAAAGCACCTGTGTCCGTACTGACAGATGGGGATAAGACGATGCGAGAGGCAATCAGAAGAGTTTCCAGACACAAGACATCAATTATGTAATTGGCATCTTGGGAAAAATGTTGTTTCAAATGTTCACATAAGTGGCTTTGCACATGCTTTCAAGCAGTGCATGGACATGGAAACGGATGAGACAAAGTTTGAGCATGGCTGGATGACAATGGTCGAAAAATTTGGACTTCAAACTAACAGTTGGGTGTTGGAGACATATAAGAAGCGTCATATGTGGGCTGAGGCATATATGCGTGGACATTTGTTTGCTGGGATGAAGGGCACTCAGCGCTCGGAGTGTATGAATGCTTATTTCAATCCCTTCCTCCAACACAAATTGAAGCTAAATGAATCTGTTAGGCACTATGATCGGGCTCTTGAAAGGATAAGGTATAACGAGGCTGGAGATGATGCTGAAACAAATAACAGTTTTCCGGTATTGATTACTCCATTACGAGATATAGAGAGACATGTAGCTGAGCTATTCACCCGAAATATATTTAGAATGTTCCGTGATGAAATCTTAGAAGAGGGGAAGTTGAATGTCAAGGACGTGTTCCCTTTGCCGGATGGTCAGAAATGCTACTATATTCATAAGTACAAAGTGAAGGACAGATCATGGATAGTAACACATAGTCCAGTGGATGCTGCAATGAGATGTTCTTGCATCAAGTTTGAGTCATTGGGGCTACCTTGCTGTCACATGATATGTGTTATGAAAGCTGAAAATTTAACGCAAATTCCCCCAACTTTGGTGCTGCATAGATGGACAAGGACTGCAAGCAAGGATGGCCAGCAATGGCCTCAACCCTCAATTGATAGCACTACAACACAGACGGCCCGGTATGGGATATTGTGTTCTTCCTACAACGAAATGTGTTTCTATGCCTCGCAATCAACGGAAGGTTTCAAGGATGCTAGGGATGCATGTCTTCCGATGACGAGCCGGATGAGGAGTTATATGAGAGGAATTTGAACGGTGGGAATGGAGACAAAGGGAAACATTCATTCCGTCGACAATTTGGAGTAGAAGATCCTGATGTTGTGAAGACAAAAGGGAACCCGGGATGGGCCTCGTCCAACTGTCGAAGACCAAGAAAATGTGGGAATTGCAAATGCTTGGGCACACAAAGCAAACGTGTCCTAAGGTTTGGTTTAGCCGAACAGTGGGTAGTAACTCAGATACAGATACAACCCACATAACTGGCCATGAGTACAATGCAGAGTCATTTCTCGTTCGCTGCAAAACTAGGTTGGTGGATCCAAGTACACCGCACATTAAGCAACGGTAACTATTTTTCGATGCTTCTCCTGATTCCAAGCAGCCTGTGGGCCAATACGGTAGTGTTGAAGCAGCAGTGTGCAAAGATGATTCGACCACAATTGATGAGGTGAATCAGGTAATTGTATAATTTGTATGATTTACTTATTCCCTTAATTTATTAGGTAGACGGTACTAGCTATTGAAAACACATGTAAATAATGTATGTAGTTTTCATTTTGCACGGATTGCTGTAGGTAACGTGTAAATAATTGGTTACATACAATGCCAGGAAATGGAACAACGTTACTTATGTACAAGGCCACGAGTTGTAAATTTCCCATATTGTTTAGAGTGATGTTGTCATTTGTGTTTCCAGTGACTTGTCATTTTGAAAACTAATTGAAGGTGAGATATCTATGGGTTGTTTGTGTATTGTTTTGGGTGGGAAATTGGCTTATGTCTGTTTCTGTTCCATATTTGGTTGGATCTAACTGATGGGTTTTTTGTGGTGTGGTTTATCAAATAACGATGTGTTTGGCTTCGTATTGATTTGTCATGACTTGTTTCGGTAAATTAGTATTATATTTCGAGTAAAATACGAATTTTGTCCATGTGAGTTTGCAAAATTACATACCAGCACATGCATTTTGTATATAATCCAAGTGGCAGTTAATTTTGGGTGTTACTTGGAGAAAGTAACCCAACGAACTCGTCCATGCCGATTGCTATATGAATTACGAGTTATGAACAAGAGTTATGAAATTATTTCATGTTAACTATGAAAGTGATGGGTTTATTGTTAGTAAAATTATGGTGGGCCTATATCGACAGCAACGAAGCAGTAATTTAAAGTTGACAAGTTAAAGAAGAAAATCAAGCAATTGTGGTATTGGTTCGAATGCCTGAAAAGGATGAAGACTTCTTTCGATGAACTGATGGTAACAAAGTAGAAAGTAACAAAGAACAAAGTAGAAAGTAAGTTGTTGTGTTGTTGTGTTGTTTGTAACAAAGTAGAAAGTAGAAGGGAAAAAACTACTCAGAAGTTACAATGTAGAAAGTAAGTTGTTGTGTTGTTGTTCATGTCCTCTCTCTCTGCAAACATTTTGCCCTTTATAGCTATTATTTCCCACAACCCCATGATCTGCCGATTCTGCAACTGCTTCTATGCAACTTCTGTAACTGCACGGTCATTTTCGTGTCTTGAAACCACATAAAACCTTCACTTGTTCCTGTCGAAGTGCATATAATTGAAGTTGCCACATGTGCCCAAGTCCTTTTAGCCTTTCCTCGACAGATACAGACTCCCAATTCGTTCATGTTTCCTCTTGGAGGCTGGCCACTAAATCCATGAGCACTGCGAGTAACTGCTCCAGCCTGTAAGTTAGGTGGCATGCCAGATTCAATGTTAGTTGATAACCCTTGTCTTCAGGTAGACTTGCCATGTGTCCTCGATTGAATGGACCAGCTGTTGGCAGGATGTGGGAAAAATAGGTGCAAAGAGGAATTTTTTAAAAATAATCAATCATAATTCAGCTGAAAATATGAGTGAACTTTTTTTTAAAAAAAAAATAGTTTCTATTTTTTTTATTATAAACCCAAGATGTATATTTTGTTTTGATATAAATAAGTTGTGTATTTTGGTTACGTAAAATGTACGACAACAATTGTGTTTAAGTCATTACAATACAGAAAAAGGTTATTTCAAAAATATTTTCAAGTTTACCGACATTGAATATATTTTGATTAAATTACAGGGAAAATTCAATATTTGGCAGAGTTTGATGATTCAAAGTCAGGGGCAGTAACAGTGAGTGGCCAAGTGTTGTGGTTCAGTGGCCCAGTTTGCAAGGATTGTGGTTGTGTTTAGTGGACAATATTCTGTCGATTTTTGTCTCATAATGATGAGGGACATGCCCCACAATGGTGAAAAGGAAGGTTGACAGGGAAGAGTCAATATTTGGCAGAGTGGACTTGAAGATTCGAAGTCAGGGGCCAGTTACAGTGGCAGTTATGGTGTAGACGTGTGGGATAATGCAATGATGGGCCACAAAAACAGTATACGGATATAGAAACCAACGATCTCCCTTCTAGGCTTTCCAAGTATACTAAACCTCCACTTCTATCTGTCGATCTCCCTTTCTTGTGTTTATTTCATGGCCACCAACTGTTTGAAACTTTTGTCGACAGAGCAAGGCTCCTGCTTTGTCTCATGCTTCCTCCTGAAAGTGTGCCCACTAACTCATAATGATGAGGGACATGCCCCATAATGGTGAAAAGGAAGGTCGACTGGGAAGAGTCAATATTTGGCAGATGGGACTTGAAGATTCAAAGTCAGGGGGCAGTTACAGTGGCAATTATGGTGTAGACATGTGGGATCATGCAATGATGGGCCACAAAAATAGTATACGGATATCGAAAACAACGATCTCCCTTCTAGGCTTTCCAGGTATGCTAAACCTCCACTTCTATTTGTCGATCTCCCTTTTCTTGTGTTTATTTCATGGCCATCAACTGTTTGAAACTTCTATCGACAGAGCAAGGCTCCTGTTTTGTCTCATGCTTCCTCCTGAAAGTATGCCCACTAACTCTATGACTGGTGCTAAAAACTTCCCCCATCACTTCTAGGTGACCCACATGTAGAGAGCACACTTTCAAGTGGTGGACATTCCTTCAGACTTGGCCATGTGTCCTCGATTAAGTGGACCATCTGTCGACAGAGATTGGCAAAACTTGGTGCAAACAATGGCTCCCTTGTTCAAGTTAAATATCATATGAATTAACCTTGCGGAAGTGATTAAGACCCCCTCCAATCACCACCTGCACCACCACCACCACCACCACACCCCTCTCCCCCCCCCCCCCCACCCCCCACACACACGTGGCGGGGGGTGATTGGAGGAGAAGGGAAAAAAAAAAAAAAATTAAAAACTGGCCAATCAGAGAGAGAGGGGGTCATGGGGGTGCCCCCTTGTGGGGGTCTAAGTCATATGATATTTTACTTCAATAAGGGGGCCATTGTTTCGGCCCAATAGCAAATTTCTTAATACGGGCCCAAAACAAACATAAACTATAGCCCAATATAAGAGCATTGAAATATACTGGCCCCACCATAAGCTATAAAAGGCCCACCTTTTCCACTTCAAACCACTTCATTTCCCTCTGATTCGAACTCCCCAGACTGTACTCCTTCTTCTCAAGCATTGCCGTTCAAAACCAGAGCACCACAAAACTCTAAGCCATGGCGCCGAAAAAATCTCAACCATCTCCATCTGAGGAGAACAATGAAGACCTACTCCGCTTCCCAGACCCTATCAGAGCACGTATCGTTCCTCTAAAATTTGGTGCAACCCTATTGCCTAGCATAAGTTCCGTCGCTAAGGCTACTCTAGGCCCTACCTTCGCGTCTTACATCCCAGATGAGCTAGCTCCATACTATCCCCTTGGTAATGGTGAGAACCTTCTTCATAACCAACCTAGACTTAAGTAGACTAACTAGAATGTCAGCAAAAACCCACTCAGATTATGGAGGTCACCAGACTCTGTTTGGCGAAGCTGGGCCAGGAGAATTGAAGGTCACAACGGTGAAGTATGGAAGCACCAGGGCATTAGTGAAGCAATTAGACTATCGACTAAAAATTATGACATGGACAAAAGGCTGATTGCTGCTGCTGCATGCTTTTTGTCGCAATCTTGTAACTCCCTACTCCTCAATTTTGGTATGATTTCCCCTACCATCTTAGATGTAGCTCACTTGACTGGTCTCCCAATCTTGGGCAATCCAATTCATGCTCTCCTTGAGCCTCCAAAAGTGACCTTTACTTTAAACACTGACATGTGCTATACAGATTTTGCCCAAAAATACAAAGGCAAGCCTAGTTCCCCTGTCCAAGACAAAGAAAGAACTGCTTTTTACTTACTTTGGCTTTGTGAGTTTCTTTTTTATGTTCCAGATTGTCAAAATGAACAACTAGTACCTGTAACAAATGAATGGTGCAACTGGCCGCTTTCGACAAGAGCCAGCGATAGTGTCAGACATTTGGATATGTTGTTCGGCAATTGTCTTCAATCTTTTCCTTCCCCTTTATGAAAGAGCAAATCATACAAATTAGATTGAAGGGAAAATTACAGGGGTGGTGTACACATTTTGTCCATTGTCTAATTTGAATCGATGCACTTTAAACTCCCTCAATTTTGACACTCCATTTTAAATTTCCTGGACAATTTTGGTCAAATTGCTAATGCCGTTTGTGATTTTTATAACAAATATTGTAATGTCAATTAATTGAGATTATGTAAGTTCAGTAAAGTTATAAGTTGACTACAACAAAAAGTACAGTTTTCACGTATATGCATATTTTCTGATAGAAAACAGTGAAGAGTTGTAATCAAATGGACGTAAATGAAACAAAAGTTCACAATTGATGATGCAAAGCGAGGCCATTCAAAATTTGTGCAAAACAAATAACATAAACACAAAAGTATATGGGCTGCTGTAAGAATTGATCCCAAAAAAAATTCAGCGTATTCCTTGGTGATGGATTTCGTGTTTTTACAAACATATGTACGAAACCAACTGGTAGCAAGTCTTGAAGGAGAAAACTAACATTGTTGGCGCGAGGTGACTAACATCCATCACATGCAATGATGACAATTCCTGCAAAGTATTCCAATCAATATTTACAAGAACACAAACAAACGGTTGCAACATGTGGCTGTTAACCTGAAAATTTTGCGTAAACACAGACAACAAAACGCAGAATTTCCCAACACATATAGATTTTGAAACGGACAAAAGAAAGGACACACATTAAAATTTTGCATTTTGTTCACACAGCTTACATTTGAAATAATTATGTGTACAAGCGATAAATGCATAATTTCCCAAAAATTAAAGAGAAATGATTACATTTTGTTTTTCATTTAGGGCTAAAAGACTACATGCACATACTTCTATGAAGGCCTGACTACAAAGGACAAAGAAGCAACTGAACTATTTCATGACGGGGTTAAACAATGTGGACAGGATTCTGCTGTCACTGAAATTGGTGCTCATCCCAAGCACAAAAACCAGATGAAACCCCATCAAGTTGAGGGCTTCAATTTCCTACTGAGTAACTTGGTTGCAGAGAATCGAGGTGGCTACATCCTGGCCCATGCTCCATTACCTTCGGGTGCTCAGACAGTGGGCAGATCAGAGAAGAATACTTTTTCGGGCATACAAGCAAGTTTCTTCAATTGTATGTGACAATGAAACAAGAAGGACTGCCGCTGCCTGCCAACAAATATTACTAACGTACCCATCCATTCTCATTCTAGACGAAGGTCATACTCCCACAAATGAAAGTACGCATTTCATGAACTCGTTCAATAAAGTCGAGACAGCCCGCAACTCATGAATGACAGCTACCTTTCTCTTGAAATGTAACTGCTATTCAACAGAAAGATGATAATTTCAAGAGAAAGGTAACCGTCATTCAAGAGTTGCGTGCAATGACAGGCAAGGCTGTCCATTTCTATGGATGAGATTTTCTTCATGAATTGCCTGGGCTTGTTAACTTTTCTGCATTTCTTCACCTCAACCCTACAATAGTTCGTGAAATGGAAGAACTGAACAACTCAGTTAAGAAGTTCAACATCACCTGGGATGAGAGCACACTCTATGTGCATGCACAGTTGAGATCTCTCCTAAAGAGTTCACCTACAGACACGTCAACCACAGAAATAGAGGGCATTAACGATGCCCGGATGAACCACATCTTAGAAAAGTTGGATATTAGAGAAGGACTGAAGGCAAACTTCTTCCTTAATCTGATAGGCTTGTCCGAATCAGGTGGGGAGAAGGTATTGGTTTTCAGCCATCGTCTCCAGCCGCTTAAGTTGTCGGTAAGGCTAACCATGAAAGTGAAGGGTTCGACTCTGGAAAAAGAATTGGGTGTGGGGAACGAATAGCTCTCTACAAAATTTGAAAATCGTCATCCTCATTTCAACTTGTAGACGCACGCCGAGGGCCTCATGCTACAGTTCGGACTCAAATGTCACGGTTCTTAATCTGATCTCACAATTTGCAATGTGAGATTAATAAATCACCAAAGAGTCCAAATCCGACAAATCGTTTTGAAAAACTGATTTTTAAGAAAGAAGTGCCAAACATGGACTGCTTTGCCAGATACAGAGTCGCCACCTAAATATTTTATTTTTGGAGGGAATTTAGGAAACCCTGACTCTTGCCTAAGGCCACGTGTCTGTCATCACCAAAGTTGCCTCGGCTCGGGAACTTGGGTATGATTGGGGAAGGTCATGCAATGAGCACCCCCGCTCGCCCGATCAAAGATCGGCCACTACTAAACATGATATCTTGTTTTTCAAAACATATGCGTTCTTATTCCAGTTATTAGCTATAATTTACTATGTGATGCGCACAACACACAAGTATAGACCGGATCGCTTAGATTGGAACAAAACATTTCATCTTTGTTTATTTGAAAATAGTTTGATGGTGCTACTCGCAAGTAGGCTAAGACGTGGATTTGCCACCCTCAAGTGGGCTTAAGAAAACATGATTTTGCCACTCTCAAGTGGGCTTAAAACTCGCATTTCAATGAATTGTTCCAATTCAAGTAATCCAACCTTCACCCACGGGCATTCAGGCAGTTATATCATTTAAGAAAATAGCCTCATGGCAAGCATGCTATTATGGCAACCACTCACACTCATGCAAGATGCTAAAGCATAAACACTTACCTAGTACTCCGAGCCAAAACAATAGCTAATTAGTAATCAAATGCATGATCCTAACTATGTTAAAATGCCTAATGCAAAACATGCAAAATGCAACTAGAAATAGGCCCGGCTATCTAAGAATGGCAT